TTTTTTGTTTATTGTCCAACAATTTATCATTATTAAGTTGTTTAATCTTATCCAAATCTAATGCGTCTATCAAAGTTGCGGATAGTCAAATGGAGCATTGATGATTTCTTCGTATTTATTGTATTTATTTGTTTCAATAACTTTTTCTTTCTTGATATTTCGTTGTTTTGTCAATTTGGTAATGAGATTGTTTGGATATTCAGCATCATTTTGTTTTAATTTTTGAATTTCTTCATTGATTTCTTTCTTATCATTTAATTTTTCAATATCTAATTCTTTATTAATATCTTCTAATATTTTTTCATATGCTTTGATTCATGTTAATCTTTGTTCTAGTAACGATTCAACATTCTCACCTAATTCAGCATTAGATTCTTTTAATTTATCAACATTTTTCTTAATATTTTCAAAATTTTTTGAGCTTTTCTCTTCATTGATTTGTCTTTTTAATTCTTCTGCTAATTCTTCTGCGTTATTTGCGATTAATTTTGTGTATTTTTCATTACATTTTTCATGCAATTCATCAAATAGATCTTTTGCCAAAGGTTTATCTTTTAATTGATTGATAATCTTTTTCGAAATAGCAACTTCAAGTCTTTAATCTTTACATTTTTATCATTTATTTCTTTTAATATTTGATCGTATATCTTAACATAACCTCTTCTTTCTCTTCGATGCTTATCATAATCTTTTCTAATTTCTAAATATTTGTTACAGATCATATTAATTTCTAAATCAAGTTTTTCCTTATCATTTAATTCTTTCGCCGATTTCGATGTCCTGATTATTTGATCGATTTCTTGTAATCTTTTTTGTTCTTTGTCGTTTAAATCTTCAAATTCCGAAGGTTTAAGTTCATCCGGTTCAATAGATTTACCTTCTAGTATGCTTTTCTCGATCTTTATGTTATTTATTTTCACATTATATTTTTCTGTTAATGTTTTAACTTTTTCTTTTTCATTTTCGGTGATTTCTTTTTTCTCAGCTTCTTTCTTTAATTCATTGATGGTTTTGTAATATAAAGAATTTTTATGATTTAATGCGGGAATAGCTTGATTCTTTTTGAAATCGTTTAATAGATTTTTAACTGTTTCGTTACTGTAATGTTCTTTAAGCAATTCTTCGAGATAATTAACACATTCTTTACCATGACTTTCTAATACGAATTTCTTAATTATCTCATTTTCTTTATCTTTGGTGACCGTTATGAAAGATAATTGTTTCTTTAACCATTTTATGTCTTTTATGGTTTGTTCTTTATTATCCACAAGTAATCGTTCTTTTGCTAATTTTTCGATTAGATCGATGATTTCAGAAATGCTTTTTGCTTTTGATTTTTCTTTTTCAAGATCTTTTATTTCCTTTTTTATTGATTCAATATCCTTTTGTAGATTATTCTCAGTTTCACTCAAATCTTTTTTGGAATCATCTGAAGATTTAATAATAGGTGGTGTGAATGGAATATTTGTTTTGATCGTTCTAATTTTTTCAATTTCCTCTTTTGTAACTTCTTCACCTTTGATAATTTTATCTAGTATTTCTAATAATTCTTTTTTAATATCTGGATGTAAATTCAAAATTGAGATAAGGTAAGCTAAGGGATCCTTATCTTTTTTATTATGTTTGATATGTCATTTGATTTTTTCGTTATATTTTTCACAGAATGATTTCATTTTTATGGTAGGATCATTCTCTATGAGTTTTAACAACTCCTTCTTGATATATTCTAACCAATTGATGTTTTTATCATTCAAATCTTTTTTAAACTTTTTCATCTTTTCGACCCAATATTTTTTAACGAGTTCTTCTTCTTCTTCATTAGTAATTCTATAATTATTTTTCCAAAAATATGGTTTATAATCACTATTTGGTAAGAACTCTTCAAATTCATATGTGTTTTTCATATTATCTATCAAAAACCTCACATGACAAAAATCTTCTAACTTATCTTTTCTTTTGATAAAAACATTGAGAGCTTCGTGTTTTGCTTCTAATAGAGGATCGACTTTTTGCTGAAAATTCTTATCTTTGAATAATGCATAATATAATCCATTATTTGTAAATAATTTACAATCTGTTTCTGATTCGATATTTTTGAGAATTGATATTATACATTCGGTATGTTTCCAATAATATTCATGTAGTTTATCTTTGTATCTTCTCGCGGTTTTTAACAATAAAGGACTGTTTATATCAAGGTTTATATTCGAAGTTTGATTTACGATCCAAACATGTTAACGATATCTAATTTATTAGGCTTATTCAACAGATAATTAAGCTACTATAATGTATTTGGATTTAAATTATCCACCTTTTCTAAACATTGCATTTCAAAATTATGTATCTTTTCATCTCCCAATTACTTCTTTATTTCTAAGCATATTATACAAAAATCCTTTATATATAAAAGGTTTCTAAGTATCTTTAGTTTTTAACAGATCAGTAATAAATTTTTCTTTATCTTCAATGTTAGCTTTTAATTTATCACATGATTTTTCACATGTTTCTATTAAAACATCAGTTTCATTCTGTGTGATTTTGGTATTTTTAAGTATTTCAAATTCAATTCTTCCACCTTCACAAAAATCCAAAATATCTTTATTTTTGATCTCTTCTTGAAATAATTTTAAAAAATCTTGAAAATTCAGTTTTGATAGGTTTTTCTTCTTTTTCTCGTAAATTTTTTGTCTAACCTTTTCTGCATAATCTTCAATGGTTTTATAATATTTATCATAATCTATTTGTTTATATTTAAACATAGTATCCTACAACATATTAAAAAATCCGTTAAATAAACGTCTATCATTCAGATGACCGTAATAATTACATTCCCATAACTCATTAACCAAACAGTATTCAACACCATTATTATGAGTGACACATTTGATACAGTAAGGATAAGATGATTTAATTAAGCTTAGGGTTAATATCAAGATTATCCAAATCAAACGTGATTTTATTTCCTTCATCATTGTAAAAATAAAATTTGTTTTCTTGTTTATTTGAAGGAGAGGGAGAAAGATCTTTCAAGTCTTTCAATGGATCTTTTACAAACAGGTAAAAATATTCCCAACTATTATCTGGTGGTTTTAAAGAATTCATATAATCTTCAATTTTTTTCTGCGAATATGAAAAAGGTGATTTTGTATCGGGATTTAACAGATCGATTGGTGGATTACATTCGTAAACATCATCATCATAATAAAAACATTGGAAATATTGTGAAAAGGTGCTTTTAAGAA